ATTACCCAAGGTGCATAAAACAAACGTTCCGATACGACCCATAATTGACATGTCGAGTTCGCCATATCATGCCATCACACAATGGATCGTAGAACTACTAGAACCAGTGCGCCGAAAGATTGCCAAACATAGCCTGAAGGATACATTTAGCTTTATAGAGAAGATAGAAAACCTCAATGTTCTCAACAAAACTATGATGTCCTTCGATGTGGACCCCTTGTTTACAAATGTGCCGCTGATAGAGATAATTGATCATATTTCTGACTTTTTAGTTTCTAGCAACATCCACGTCGGAAGTCCGGTGAACAAATTGAAAGAGTTGATTCTCAGATGTACATTTAACATACAGTTTTTGTACAATGACCGGTTCTACAGACAAATCGACGGGGTAGCCGTGGGGTCTCCACTAGGTCCCATATTGGCAGATATTTTCCTGGCCAAACTGGAGAACGAAAATTTGAGAGAGACAATTCGAAATTCGGACATTTATTGCAGATACCTCAACGCTACTTTTATTGTTTATGATTCTCACATCAGCCGCACAGCTTCTCGACGAATTTAACAAGTATCATCCGGCTATTCGTTTCACCTGCGAACTAGAGAAGAGCGGACAGCTACCCTTCTTAGATGTGTTTTATTAACAAAGCGAGATGACGGTGCCATCCAGAAAAGCGTCTTCCGCAAAACAACGTGGGTTGGACAGTATACGCATTTTTGTAGTTTTGTCCCCCTGAAATATAAACGCAACTTGGTCAGATGTGTATCATACCGAGCGCGTGCGATTTGCAGCGAGGATACACTGCAGTCCGAGATACGTTTTATTCATGATGTAATTCGGTCAAATGGTTACCCGGAAGCTTTTGTTGATAAACATTTAGGTTTGAAGACCAACCCGAGCAAAATCCCTACCGTTCCCCACAAGAACGTTTTCCTTACTGTGCCGTTTAAGGGCGACGATGCACTGGAACTTTTTAAAGGACGTTTGTCCAAAGCGATCTCTAGAACATACCCTACAGCTCACCCGTATATCCTCACCACCACGCGGGCCTTGGTGTCCCGGAAAATGAAAGAAAAGTTGCCTCTTCAGTCCAAATCTTTCGTTCTATATCTTTTCACGTGCACTTGTAGTGTGAGATACATTGGACATATGACATGGCGATTATCAAAGCGTATTACTGAGCACTGTCCTGCAGCCCTCTACAATGGAACGGTTAGATGTATTCGCAGCTCGGTTCTCGGTCATCTCGTCGATAGCGGGCATTCTGTGAACAAATTGGATGCATTCAAAATTATTCATACTATACCCCAGAGATATTCCAAAGGGATAAGAAGGCGGCTTTTAATCACGGCCGAGGCGATTGCATTTCAAATTTTCAATTCAGAATTATGTAAGGAAAAAAGCTGGTCCAGACACTGTTGTTGCCCTGGCCTGGACAGCGGATTGATTGTGTATAAAATAGAGCATCAACCCCCTCTCCAACCCTCTTTCCTCGTCTGTAGTATCACCAACCTCAATCTTAAGCACTAATTATCTTGATTTTGTCTCTAATGACCCTTCCTGATTAAATCGCTTGCTATGCATGGCTTATAGTTTCTGCCGTATTTTACGTAACTTCATCCCGCTCTCTCCTCTTAACTCTTTATTAAGCGAAGCCTACTGATATCACTAATTGAAAGTTTCAATACTTCATTTTAGCCAGGAGTCTGAGGAACAGAACCAAGATCTTCTCCTTGATTCCAAGCATCGTGGGGTTGCATCTGAGCAAACGAATGCAGAATACTAGACAATAATGGCACCTGTCTTGAGTCCTGGCCTGACCTGAATTTTCGAGGTCATAATTAAAAATTTATGCCGCAGTGATAAAGTTTGCCTAATGTTTATTCAATTTGGGCCAAATTTTTCATATAACACATGTCTTCGGTTTTCAGTTTTGAAGACAGAAAGAAGACTACTCATTTTATCCCTGTTACCACGGGGTAAAAGAGCCGATCATATGTGGTCCTCCCTTCACACCTAAGTATTGCTCTAATCAGAAGCTTACAGTAATCTGAAGGCGTTTTTGTTAGGCTTCTAAAGACTGGGATATTCAGTAGGCTGCTCATTTCTGACAGTAGCTTATTCCAACTATTTGCCACCCTGTTACTAAATAAGTGTCCACGTAGATGTAGTCTAGAAAGCTGTTTCATACGTTTGAGCTCATGGCCACGCGTTTCTCGATGGAAAGCCTCAACGGATAAGGTCCCGGATGAAGCCCCAGCATATTTTTTCTCAATTTTAAACAATTTTATGAGCTCTCCATGCAGCCTCTTCTTTTCTAATGAAAAAGGGCCGAAAACGCACCACATTCTTTGTGTGAATTATCCCTCAGGTATTGAATCTGTAGTGTTGTTAGTCTCTGAACCTTCTCTAGACAGGCTATGTCCTTTTTGTAGAAGAGCGACTAAACCTGAACACAGTAATCTAGGGAAGGCCTGACAATGGCTTTGAAGATAGGTACAAAACCTTCTGCTTTAGTACAAGAAACTGCAGACCTTAGTCAAAATAACTTTCATCTGGCTTAGTGCGATACAACTACACATTGGTGACTGGAACCGAAATCTGCGGTCACCATAACTACCAGATCCTTTGGGTTGGTTACGGGAACTGCTTCAGAGTGTCCTCACTCGTTAGCTTTCAATTAATTCTGGGCTTTGGAGAGCAAATGGTAATTTTATGCGTTCGGTGGCAGACCCACTTGCGGAAGCACTGTGCGCAATGTCTTCTTCTAGGTCTATTCGTCCACTAGATTCAATCACCGTTACATTGTCAGCGAAGATAAACCACCAGGAGCTGGTAATTTCTGTTAGATCATTTATGAACATCAGAAATAGAAGCAGAGCTAAAACCGACCCTTCTGACACACCACTAGTACCTGCAAGACTGATGAGATTTGTTTTTTTACCCTAACCTAGAAGGTCCTATTCGTCGAGAATTCTGCCATCCACTGATATGATGTTCGCGTGATTCCAAAGACACCTAGCTTATGTAACTGCAATCTATGACTTACCGAATCAAAAGCCCTACTAAAATTAAACTAACATATCTCTACTGCTCTACCTTCATCTACCCTCTTCGTGACCTCGTCTAGGTAGCATCACAGGTTAGTCAGGCAAGACTTATTTCTCATAATATCATGCTGAAAGTCACTAAGTAATACATGCTCCAAGAAGCTCCTATAAAAGTGTACCCTGATTAGTTTTTCATGCACTTGCACAGAATAATAGTCAAACCAACTGGTCTTTAGTGTTGTGGATTTGTTCGTCTTTCGCCCGTGTGTAAAGCCACCACAGTTTTAAGTCTACCGGGGGAACACTCTCCTCTAGTGATTTTGAAACGGTAACCTTAAGAAGGCTGCTAACATTTGGGCTAGTGGTTTCATAGTGACAAAATGTATACTATCGGAACCCGGAGTCTTACTGGTGTATAACTCCCCGAACACATTCTGAATGTTTGCTGCAGATATGTTTAGGCCAGTTATGCTCTGTGGAAGAGAGTTTGGTGCACTGTGTTTCGATGTTCGGTTGTCTAACATACGAAAATTGGAGAAATAGTTGCCTGGTGCTGTTGCCTTGCTCTGGTCATCTACAGTAATGGTGTTTTTTTTCCAGCACCAATGCACCTATGATATCCTTCAGAGTGTTATTGGGCATATCTATAAAACCTT